GTGTGTCTTTATGTGTGTGTGTGTGTGTGTGTGTGTGTGTGTATGTGTGTTAGTGCATTTGTGTGTGTGTGTGTGTATCTGTGTGTGTGTGTGTGTATGTGTGTTAGTGCATTTTGTGTGTATCTGTGTGTGTGTGTGTGTGTGTGTGTGTGTGTGTGTGTATCTGTGTCCCTGTGTCTGCCTCCCTGCAAGAATGAGTTGTTTACACTAACTGACCAACATCATTACTTGAGTCAGGCATTAGGGGGTGAGCAGCAGAACCTCCAGGAAAAGAGAGAAAAAATTCAGAAGGACAGAAATTTTAGAAATAAGGAAGGAGATTAGATTCCGTTTATCAACCTAAAATAGAACAAACTGTCGACATGGCAGAGGAACAACCAATGATGACGTTTCTGATCTATTTATATATTTGATCCTATTTCATGACTCGTGCTATCTACTTATACGAACTTCCCGTCAGCTCTTTAAGCTGCAACACGCTCAACAGTGAAACTGCATCGAGGCGTTAATTTCACAGCCATTAATTTCACGCCTAAGGTTCTAAACATTAAATTAGGTGCAATTAAAATGTTGTAGAATCCTTCCTCTGCAGTCATTGACAATTCAGTTACATTCTTTAGCACTGACATCAATTCTCTCTTCTCTGCATCCACCAATCCCTCTCTCTCTTTATCCACCTATCCCTCCCTTTCTCCAATATGACTCTTCATCTGAAAAAACCAGACCCACTGAGTTTCTCCAGCGATCTCTGGGCTCGTTTCAGATTTCCAGCATCCGCAGGATTCTGCTCTGATCAGAATAGCCAATTAATCGACAGTGGGCTCATAATTCACATCATAACATTTTAAAAATTCTTTCATGGGATGTGGGTGTCACTGGGAAGGTCAGCACTTGCTGCCCATGAACAGTGGGGCTTACTTGGCCATCTTGGAGGGCAGTTAAAAGTCACCCTCATTGCCGTGGGTCTGGAGTCACATGTAGGCCAGACCAGGTAGGGATGGCAGATTTCCTTCCTTAAAGGATATTAGTGAGCCAGATGGGTTTTTAAAGTAACTGATGGTTACCATGGTCAACACAGTGCTGTCAGACCATGGGGCTGCTCTCTCATTAAAGAGAGAGATGACTGGTGGAGGTTTAATCTGAGGGTCACTGTTCCTTGGGTGAGGGCCTTTCATGGTAACTTCAGCTGGTGTGGGGATTGAACCCCACACTGTTGGCATCACTCATATCACAAACCAGCAGCCAGCCAACTGAGCTAATCACCACCCCCAGCCCTGTTAGTCACAGTGAGCTATGAAACTCTTTGTCGAGACCAAGAGAAGGGGGAGAGGGGAGAAGAAGAGCAGATTTACAGCCCTGCCAAAACTAAAAGGACCCGCAGTGTGTCATACAGAATGGTAATCTGAAATCCAATACTCCTGTGACAGCACCCCTTTACATTCAATGGCGTCACTGAATCCCCTACAATCAACATCCTGGGATTACCACTGACCAGAAACTCAACTGGACTAGTCATATAAATAATCTGGCTCCAACAGCAGGTCAGAGGCTGGGAATATTGCAGCAAATAACTCACCTCCTGACTTCCCACAGTCTGTCCCCCATCTACAAGGCACAAGTCCAGACAGTGATGGAATATTCTCTCTTGCCTGAACGAGCACAGCTCCAACAGCACTCAAGAAGTTCAACACCATCCTACCCAGCTCCTAATTCAGATGTTCCTTATGTAGCTTCCATTTCAGCGCAATGCAATCTGTCTGCTACCGGCTTGCTCACTCTCTTCATCTATGTCAATTGTTATTACATGCCTGCTGCCTACAACCATCTGGTATATCACGAATATTTATGTCATTGGCAAATTCTTGAATACTTAGTTAGCCTGTGGAATTCTCTTTCCCAGAAAATGGTGGCTGAGACATTGGAAATATCCAAGACAGAGTTAAACACGTTCATGATAGACAAGGTTTGGAGGGGCGGGGGCAGTGGTTGAGATCACAGCTGGGTCAGCCATAGCCTTATGGAATGGGCTTGAAGGGCCAATTGGCCTATCTCCTGGTCCTAACTCCTACGTTCTGCCTGAACATGGTGTAGAAGACAATCCTGGAAAAAAACCATACAGTGGGGTCCAATCCTATTTGTAGGTTTGGTTAAACTGTACAAACCATGTTTCAGCTTGTCACAAGTAGAAAGCAATACTGCTCACATTCTGCTTCCTTCAACTCCATCCAACTCCTGTCTATATAAAAAATCATATCACGCATTGCTCAAACAAAGATAATAAAACTGTTGCAACAAAAGAGATAAGTTAAGGAGAGGATTTTTAAAAAAAATGCAACTTGAAAGCTTTCTCTGAAAGGGTGAAAGTGCTGATTGAATCATAACTTTCGTACAAAATTCGAGAAGTTCTTGAAAGTGTAACATTGAAGGAGCCGGAAGGAAAAGAGAGTGGGACTAGAAACATCAGTACAGACATGATGGGCCAAACAGACTGCTTCTACCCTGCATGACTCTGACCCGAGACATTCACTATGTTTCTCTCTCCAAGCTGCTGACAGTTTTCTCAGTGTTAACCTTTTCTTTCTGAAGTTATGATGAATACCTCCATGTGCTCTGAAGGTGGGATAAAGGGAGATTGGGCACATGCTCAGCTGTCACACACTAAATACGATTCACCAATGGTGAAATCTACTAGGGGCCTCATGGTAATCTCACTGGAGTTGTAATTCAGAATCTCAGGCTAACGTGCTGGGACATTGGTTCACATCTCACTATGGCAGATGGTGAGATTTGAATTCAATGAAAAACCTGGAATTAAAATTCAGCCCTAATGGCACCCATGTAGCCACATTGATTGTTTATAGAAAAAACCGTTTGGCTTTATGGAAGAAAATCTGCCTTCCTTACCTGGTCTGATCTCTGGTTGACTGCACTCTGTGTTACCAACAGCTCCCTGCATTGGCTTTATTAATACGGGCTTAAAGTACAAGAGCAAGGGAGGGATGTTGAATTTGTTAGATACTTAGACACTAGAACTAAGGCACTTGTTAGACTTTTGCACAGCGACTTACAAGAATGACTCCAGCTTTGTGAAAATTCAGTTATGTGGGTAGATTGGAGAGGTTAAGACGGCTCTCCTTGCAGTGAGGAAATCTCAGAGGAGATGTGATAGAGGTCTTCAAAATCATGAGCAGGCTGGATAGAGTGGCAAGGGAGAAACTGATCCCACTCATAAAAGGAACAAGAGGGCATAGATTTACAGTGATCTGCAAAAAACCAACAGATCTCAGAAAAACGTATTTCACACAATGAGTAGTTAGGGTATGGAATGCACTGCTTGGAAATGTGGTGGAGGCAGGTTCAATTGAGATATTTAAGAGGACACTGAATGATTATTTGGATAGAAATAATGTGCAAGGCTATGGGGAAGAAAACAAGAGATTGGCACTAAGTAAAGATGCTCATTTAACAAGGCAGTGCAGATATGATGGGCCAAATTAATTCCTGCTGCGTGATAATAACTCTGTATTTTTTTGTGAAGTTTTAACATAAAGGAGCAGGGTGTGGGCTATTCATTGGCCTTGAGCTGGCTCCACCATTCAAGATGATCGTGGCTGATTGGATTCCCTTTCCTGCCTGTTTCCTGTAACCCTTCACTCTCCTGTCGATCAAAAATCAGTCTGACTCAGTCTTGAGTTTATTCAATGACCCAGCCTCCACTGCTCTGTAAAGAATTCTGAAATTTCACTCCCCTCTAAGGGAGGAAATGCTTTCTCCTCTGTCTCAAACTGGGATCTATTATTCTGTGAGTGTGCCCCTTGGTCCAGGCTCGTCCCCAAGACGAAATATTCTCTCTGCATCTAGCCCTGTTCAGACCCTCAGGATCTTATATGTTTCAATAAGATCATCTCTCGTTATTCTAAACTCTAACGAGTAATGGCTCAGCTTCTCCTCCCGAGTCAATTCCTTTGTTCCAGGAATCAGCTGAGTGAACCGTCTCTGAACGGCCTCCAATACAAGTGTAGCCCCCCTTAAGTAAGGAAATAAAAAGGTGTGCAGAGCTCAAGTCTCACTGAAGCCCTCTATGGTTGTAGCAAGACTTCCTTACATTAATACTCCATCTGCTTACAATAAAGACCAAACATCCATTTGCCTATCTAATTACTCACTGGGCTTCTATGCCAAAATTTTGTGTTTCATATACAAAGACAGCTAGTCTCAGCTTCTTAAAAACCTCTGTGAACCTTGCTATGAGTCAGTAGTTACTGTGTTCAAAAATCCAAGCAGAAAGCAAAATGTTAACATCAAACTGTGAAAATCTTGCATCTGGCCAGTGTCGAGAGTCTTTGAAAATCTATATGTTCGAGGGATTTTGTCTGCAATGGATAAATCTAGTACTTTTGCTTGGTTCAAGAGCAAACTAAAGGAAGAACAAAAGCTACAATGCCCATTTGAATGTCTCGATCCCTTTTCCTTATAGATTTCTACTGCAACTATTTGGAAAGTAAATTCAGGCTCGGGTTTGGCAGTTCCAAGTTCCATTCTCCACGTGGTCACATATTCCATCTACTAAAAACATCACAGGTTTACTCTGTTTCATATGGTGTAAAGCAGAACTGCAGGCACTGATGGGAAACTGAAAAAAAACACACAAAGCACAGAAGGATACAGCGACAGGGTAAGATGAAGTGAAGTGGGCACAGGCTTGTGTAGAGTTTACAGTCCAACATCAATCAGCTGTGTCAAATGGCCTGTGTGTGTATACTGTAAACACAAGATGACGTCTACAAATGTTTCACTGAATGTGGGGTCCGAGCAGAAGCCTCAGGAAGATTGAAGGCTCAGGGCTGAGTCTGCTTTGAGTTTGTAATTCTATGTTGTAGCATCATGAACAGAAAAACGTTATTTCATTTCAGAGGGTCTGTTCAGTTAATGCAAGGCTCTCCCAGCGTGTATCCCTGTACCATCACGGTCCCTGATATCAGAAACAGTCAGAGGTTTACCTGTAACATGGAGCAAGTTGTCACTGTCGACCTCCACTTTCAGGAATATTCGCCCCCTTCTCTCCGTGTGGTCGGTTCCACACATGCTGGGCACGTTTATAACACATTTCTTGTGCACATTTAGGTCACAGGCTGAGGAGTAGAAAATTACACACATTTCAGAAACGGTCATTCACTCCAGACCCACAACATTCATTGCACCGAATTACTCAAGGGGGTTTCGGAAGACTCACCTTCCCCATTGCTTGTTGGGTTAGGGAGAAAACGGGAAGAGGAATGGGAGGGGCTGGGGAAGGAAGAAGAATGAGATTTTCAATCAATCTAAGACAGAGCTTTTCCAGTGCTGACCTTGCAGTGGTGGAGTTGCAGAGACCACTGTTGCTTCGAATTCCTGTCACAGACCAGGCCACATGAGGGGATCATCCCCAAAGACACACATTTTTACACAACACCTTTCAGGACCCCAGGAGAACCCAAAGCACTTTACAACTAATGAAGTATGAGACATTGCTTAGGCCGCAGTTACAGTTTGTGTGCAGTACTGGAATCCACATTATCGGAGAGATGTGACTGCACTGGAGATGGTGCAGGGGAGATTTACCTGGATGTTGCCTGGGCTGGAGAGTTTCAGCTACAAAGAGAGATCGGACAGACTGGGGATTGTTTTCCTTGGAGCACAGGGGGCTGAGGGGTGCATGGTTGAGATGTATAAAATTGTGACGGGCAGAGACAGGATAGATAGGGAAGAGATTTTTCCCCTTGATGGAGGAAACAATGAGCAGGGGACATGGATTTAAGGTAAGGGGAGAAGGTTTAGAGGATATGTGAGGGAAATTATTTCACCCAGAGGGTAGGAGGAATCTGGATCTCACTGCCTGTAAGGGTGGCAAAGGCAGAAACCCCCATCACATGGAAGAAGTATTTAGATGTGCCATTGTGACACCAAATCATACAAGGATATGGACCAAGTGCTGGAAAAAGGGATTAGAATAGTTAAGTGGTTGTTTTTGACCAGTGCAGATGTGATGGGTTATGATAGAACAGTACAGCACAGTACAGGCCCTTCGGCCCACGATGTTGTGCTGAACGAAAGGGGTTAAAGGGCCCTTTTCTGTGATGTAGTTCTCTCTGACTCTAAGCACTTAGAAGTTGAGATAATGTTGTAAGGAATGGGTTGCCAATTTGTATACAGCATTCTCCCAGAAACAGCAATGTGATAATAACCAGATGATCTGTTCCTTGTGATACAGATTGAGGGGTAAATGTTGGCCAGGATTCTGGGAATAACTTGTCTGCCCTTGCTTGAAATAGTTCAATGAGATATTTGACAGAGAACTGAGACATGGTCTTGGCTGGCTTGATGATAGATGATACAGCAGGCAGTGTGGTATTCCCACAGACCTCCAGCGGAGGGTCAACACTGGAGGGGTCTTGAAATCAGACTCTCCAGACTCACGGTTGGTCCACTGAGCCACAGCTGATACTCAGCTACTCACATCGATCTGAATGTTTGATGGGTGAGGGGGCTGCTGGTTAGGGGCAGAGACGTCAGTCAAGGTGACAGCTGCTGGTTGCAGTCAATGACCCTGCTTGGAAGTATCGACTGAGAATGTGAACCTCACTGGGATCCTCTTCATGAGTGACCGAGCGCTGGAGAAACTGCTGCCCCAAGAGAATGGGCAGGAGCAAGTGACAGCCCTGGGGGAACATCATGCTTCCCTCCAACCACCCCACACATAGATCAGCCCTCCAGAAGAAGGGTGGGAGAAACTTCTGGAATGAATCCTGGTCTGATTGGATCTGTCCATGCACAGATTGAGTGCAGCAAGTGAAAGGAGAGAAACGCTAGCTGCTCTTCAGCTCTCATCGAGAAGGACTGATGATTTCAATTTTGCGACACCAGGTTATAGTCCAACAGGTTTATTTGAAAACACAAGCTTGTAGAGCCTCACTTTTCTTCAGGTATTAGTGAGAGAGGTAGTATCAGACACAGAATTTATAAATAAAAGATCAAAGGTTCACACCACTGATCAGGGTGTCACCTGAAGAAGGAATGAGGCTCCGAAAGCTTGTGTTTTCAAACAAACCTGTTGGACTATAACCCAGCATCACGTGACTTCTGACCTTGTCCACCCCAGTCAAACTTCTTGAGTGTTGTGACTGCACTCATCCAAGCAAGTGGGGAGAATTCCATCAGAATCCTGACTTATACCTTATAGATGATTTGAGGAGTGAGGAGATGAGTTACTCGCTGCAGTATTCCCAGCTGCTGGCCTGCTCTTGTAGCTATTGTGTTAATGTGGTGAGTCCAGTTGAATTTCTGGTCAATGGTAACCCCCAGGATGTTAATAGTGGCGGATTCAGTGATGGTAATACCATTGAACGTCGAGGGGCGGTGGTTAGATTGTCTCTTATTGGTGATGGCCATAGCCTGGCATTTGTGTGACACAAATGTCACTTGCCACTTGTCAGCCCCAGCCTGGATATTGTCCAGATCTTGTTGCATTTGAACATGAACTGCTTCAGTATCTGAGGAGTCGCAAATGGTGCTGAACATGGTGCAGTCATCGGCGAAATTCTCCACTTCTGACCTTATGATGGAGGAAAGGTCATTAATGAAGCAGCTGAAGACTATTGGGTCTAGGACACTACCCTCAGGAACTCCTGCAGAGATGTCGTGGAGCTGAGATGATTGACCTCCCACAACCACGACCATCTTCCTATGTGCCAGGTATGACTCCTACCACCGGAGCGTTTGCCGCCTGGTACCCATTGATTCCAGTTTTGTTAGGGTTCCTTGATGCCACACTCGGTCGAACGTAGCCTTGATTTCAAGGGCTGTCATCCTCACCTCACCTCTGGAATTCAGCTCTTTTGTCCATGTTTGAACCAAGGCTGTAATGAGGTCAGGAGCTGAGTGGTCCTGGCGGAACCCAAACTGGGCGTCACTGAGCAGGTTATTGCTGAGCACGTGCTGCTTGATAGCACTGCTAATGACATCTTCCCTCACTTTACTGATGATTGAGAGTGGGGCAGTAATTGGCCGGGTAGGATTTGTCCTGCTTTTTGTGTACAGGACATACTTTGGCAATTTTCCACATTGTCGGGTAGATACCAGAGTTGTAACTGTACTGGAACAGCTTGGTTAGGGGAGCGGCAAGTTCTGGAGCACAGGTCTTCAGTACTATTGCTGGAAGGTTGTCAAGGCCCGTAGCCTTTGCAGTATCCAGTGTCTCCAACTGTTTCTTGACATGAAGTTCTGAGGAAGGGTCAGCAGACCTGAAACGTTAACTCTGATTTTTCTTCTTCACAGATGCTGCAGACCTGCTGAGCTTTTCCAGCTACTTTGTTTTTGTTCCCGATTTACAGCATCCACAGTTCTTTCGGTTTTTATTTGGCTGAAGATTGGACCACTGGAGGAGGCCGAGGTGGATCACCTACTTGGCACTTTTGGCTGAAGATTGCTGCGAATGCTTCAGCCTTATCTTTTGCACTGATGTGCTGGGCTCCCCCATCACTGAAGTTGGGGAAATTGCTTGAGATTTCTCCTCCAGTAAGTTGTTTAATTGTCCACACTTTTCTCAATTGGATGTGGCAAGACTGCAGAGCTTAGATCTGATCCGTTGGTTGTGGGATTGCTTAGCTCTGGTTAAACCATCACCAGTTGTGTCTCTTTAATGAGACAGCTCTATGGTAGGACTATGGAGACTTGACTTTATAAATATATGGTGTATATAAACTTTGAATACCTTGGTATAGTGAGGTAAACTTCAAATTGCATTTCACAAAAGCTCAACCCACCACTGTGCTTAATGTAGTGAGATTTTCACACTAAGGAATTATATCAAGGATGATGGCTTTAGGGAGAGAAAGTTGAGAGCTGGGTCTTCGAAACCCGTGGCTATTTTCACAACAGCAGCTAATTTCACCTCAATTATTTAAATTTAAAATTAAAATTAATTAAACAATTTCCCGACCATAATAAAACGTTTCAAAATGTCTCAGGAGCATCACAAAACATTACACTAACCCGTATAAAGACATACTAAGACTGATGGCCCAAAATTTCATGAGTCTTGCAGGTTTTCAAGGTCCTAATGTACAATTTGATATCGAGACATTTATCTTCATGTTACAAAAGTATAAATTATCAAAGGATCACAGCACTCCTCAATTGAGGTCCTGATTTCCAACTTTCGGATGACCATGATGAAGCACTGGCCAATTGCTGGCACGTGCGTGAGACAAACAGCGAGAGACACAGACAGACAGACAGACAGAGGGAGAGAATGAGAGAGAGTATGTATGTGTGTGAGAAAGAGTGTGGGAGTGGTTCGAAGAGAGTGTGTTGTGTGAGAGACAAAGAGATAATTCATGTGAGAGAAAGACAATGAGTGTGTGAGACAGCATACGTGTGACAGTGTGTCTGTATGAAACCGTGTCTGTGTGAGAGAGAGACAGTGTGTGTGAGAGAGTGTGTGTGTGAGACAGAATATGAGAAAGGGAGTGTGTGTGAGAGAGACAGTGTGTATGAGAGACTGTGTGAGAGACAGCGTGAGGTGTGAGAGTGAGAGAGTGTGTGTGTGAGAGAGGGAGTGTGTGTGAAAGTATCAAAGTGTGAAAGATAGAGTTGAATAAAAACACGCAGCAGGAGGACCTCACTGTACACCCGAATCACAAGGATTGCATTGCTATCTATGATAAAATAACACTTTCCATCATGTCTAACATAGTTAACTATTGTATTCATTTGGAGTAAACTGTCATGATGGCATTTAATGTTAATGTACTGTGATGTGAATGATTATACACACTCACCAGCACAGCAGGACTTTCTAATCTTTCTAAACTTGGCTTATGTTTGGAATCAAATCTGAGCTGTTAAACAGTGGAACGATGGACTGATTTTCACAGATTTCTGACAGATGGAGGAAAGTATCTAAAGAACTGGATGAACAGAAATATTTGCTGAACCGTGGCATGTTTGATGGGAGTTAGATAAAGGGGAGTGGGAGGAATTTTCTGTGGATTATAAACACTGACATGGGCTAATGGGACTGATGGTCTTTTCTGTGCTTTATGTTCTAGTTGTAAGTTTTCTGTTTACTGTGATTTATCCGAAGGTCCATTAAAATCCCTTTAAAATAATGTCCTTGTGCCTTTGCCTTTCTTTTAAGGAGTTATGGAAAGACTAAAGAAAAACACTCACTGTCACATTTCATCCCTTGGTGAATGAGGCCATAGAGCAGTGAGCCACAATGGTCACAGAACGTTGGGCTGCCATACGTGTGGATTTTAAATTTGTGTTTGCTCCTTGGGTCCTAGAAATAGAAGGAGATAAAAATAAGATTGAATTTTTCACATTTGACAAAAAAAGCATTCTTGGTTTTCGTCAATGACCCTTCCTCGTAACCACAACTTCTGTAAGGTATCACCGCATTCCTCCTTGTGGTAAATTCACACGAGACACATCGTCAGAAAAGGCCACGGTCTCTTCGCAGACGCAGAAAACTCACCGTTACAGTGAGGGGGCAACGGGCCAACAGTGAGCCTGCCCTCTCGTCAAACCTAACAACCAGCAGCAGGTCCGACCCAGGAGACTGCAATAGATCTGTCAGTGATCTGACTCATTCACTATCCAAACTTGGGAATGTGCAAAGTAAACCTAATGCATTGACCAGAGATCGATAATCCTGGAGCTGATCATACAGGGCTAGTATAAACCCGTAGTGGCAGTGCCCTGAGCAACAAACATATAGTTTCATTCAAGCGTAAATTCAGTAAAAATATCACTTGCGGAAAATAATGAGACACAAAAGTAGGTTATTTATTTTATTATTAGTGAACACAGATCTCCAGATCCAAGTGATGACCTCCTCATTTGCTGAGTTGAAGGTGTTATGTCTGCTGCTGCGTATGTACAGAGTCACTCCTCAAAATCTGGTCAGTTCAGAATTGGTTAATCCACATCAATTCAATCAGAATCTGGTTACCTCAGAACTGGGTGATCCAGGTTCACGTGGTCACTCTGGGATGGTATGGTCACTCTGGGAGTGGTCACTCTGGGTCAGATGTGATCACTCTGTGAGTGGTCAATCTGGTATCGGTCAGTCTGGGTTGAAGTGGTCATTCTGGGAGTGGTCAGTTTGGGTTGGGGTGGTCATTCTGGGAGTGGTCATTCTGGGTTGGGGTGGTCATTCTGGGTTGGGGTGGTCATTCTGGGAGTGGTCAGTTTGGGTTAGGGGGTGGTCATTCTGGGAGTGGTCAGTTTGGGTTAGGGGTGGTCATTCTGGGAGTGGTCATTCTGGGTTAGGTATGGTCACTCCAGGCTTGTTCAGGCTGAGTTGGGTCAGAGGTCTTGTCAATTCAGGAGTGGTCAATCTGGATTGGACCAAATGGGCTGTGGAAAGAAGAATGGCCCATCTTTCTCCATCAAACTCAGGGTGAGCTCACAGGCTGTTGCAGCATTTTGAGTTTTTATTCCAATTCCTGGTGTCAGCAATTCAGAAAGAAACACCCGTTCAACATCAACAGAGCCGGTGCTGCCAGAGGGAACGTCTGCAACAATTGAAATGCTAAAGTTTGGAATAAATATCTCCAGCAATGAAGAGGTCAGCATTATAAATACCTGCCTGACTGGGACTCACCTCATTTATATAACTACAGAGCATGAAACGTCTCAAAATGCAAATGGTTGGATTTCAATTGAGATTGCTAACTAAACCAAACAAATCAAGTTTACACATCTCCCTACTTCCCATCTCAAAGTATCAAACAGGACTTCCGGTTACAATGAGGTCCAGGTGGGGAACAGTCCCTGTGTCCTTAATTTCCAAACAAACACAGATAGCTCACAATTCCACATCCCCGCCATATCGATCGGGCACCAGGTTTGTTAACTAACCCCATGCCTCCATCAACATCAGTCATGGCGCTGTGTGTAACTCTCCCATCATATCTCTTGGCATCGTTAATATGCAGAAATCTAGTCATGCCTGTCTTGAACATACTCAATGGCTGAGCCTCACAACCCCTGGAGGAGAGAATTCCAAAGATTCACTGTTCTCTGAGTGAAGAAATTCCACTTCAACTCAGTCCTAAATGGTCCATCCC